GCATACACTACACACACACAAAAATAAATATATATATATACACACACAGCACACACACACCACACTATACATATACACACCACACACACCACGGACATACATATATGTAGAGCTATATATATATACACACACACACACACACACCACACACACACACACACACATATACTATAATAGTTTACTAATATATAGTATATATATATATATTATATTAGGGGTGCAACGATACACAAAATTCACGGTTCGGTTCGATACTTTGGTGTCACGGTTCGATATTTTTTCGATACAAAAAAAAATGTTCATGCCTTTTTAATTTGTCATTTATTAAATTTTCACGGCACATTCCGCACCACATCTCTGTGCGTTCATCATTTGTTTGAAGCCAGCTCACCTCCTGCAACTACTTTTCCGAGAATACGTGCTTCTTTTGTGGTTCGGACTCCTTCTGACATTTCTTTGGAGGTGGAGGAACATCACAGTAATTGCTTAAAGGAGCTTGCTTCTTCGACATCTTTAAGAGTTCTAAACAAATGTCTGTCCTCCTCCTGAAAATCTTATGTATGCAAACACGCGTTGCAACTTCTTATCTTGTGCCCGTTTTTTATTTTGACAGCGAATGCGCACCTGCGGACCACTTATGTGCAGCCCTGGTTATTTCGCTTGTCATATTGCAGCCACAGAAATTCTTTTGTCCATGAAACCATAAAGCTGCACTTTCTTTTTGCCTTATAGTCTGATTTGTCATAACTTTTCCGTTTTGTGGTAAGCTTTTCTTTGGCTGTCACTTCTTCACCCTGACCTGTCTTATTTGGCTCAGCAGAACTAAAATATTGTGGCGAGCTCAGACAAGGAGGAGACGGAGGTGTCGTTTGGTCTTGCTTCCCGTGAGCTAGCCAGGGAGCACAGCCGTTTATTGACATCTGCAGAAGAACACTGCCGCTAGCTAACTGCTCAGCGCGGCAACCGCACAGCAAACAACAACAACACACAGGGCGCCCTCTGACCCCGGAAGGACACACCGTCGCAGCGAGAGGGCGTCACCCGTCACTATGGCAACATAAACAAAACATAACTGTACAAACAGAACCCCGAACAGCCCTGACCCGCTACATAGCCCCACCTAAGGGGTCAGTCGTCCCCGACGACCCCATTACCCCACTCACATAAGCTCAGCGATTCTCTGCGCGATCAACCTCTCACATGTTTAAGCTTGCTGCGGGAGATTTCACTTGTCATGTTTGCATAGTAAGCTAACGATTGATAAGACGATGTCAGAGGAATTGGTGCGCAAATTATCATCACTCACCAATCAGTGCTGTCGCTCTCTATACACAGTTCAATTGCAAAGTGAAAGCAAAAAACAAGCGCAAATTCAAACGCGATTTCAATATGTCACATATTGACAGTGGCTCACCGATGCCAATGACATAATTACCCAGCTACATTTCCGAAAGAATGCAAAAGCATTGACATATATTTTTCTTCCTACAATAGCCCGACGGGCAGGGCAGAGATAGATTTTGGTAGCCCGACTGGAAAAATCGCTAGCCCCGGGACGTCGGGCTAGCGATATTGCAAGCCCTGTATCTGATTGAGGAATCACTCATCTTTGGAAAAGAGAGTTTATTACAGAGAAATGGCTCTTTCCAAAATAAAAGCTATACTATCCGCTTCTTCTGGGCTATATTCTCAGCAGACATTTAAAATAAGATAAGATAAGATAAGATAACCTTTATTAGTCCCACACGTGGGAAATTTGTTTTGTCACAGCAGGAAGTGGACAGTGCAAAAGTTATGAGGCAAAAATTAGAATACAATAAGAATAAATACAGTACACAACTGTACAGAATAGAATAAAATACTATATACAGTAGAATAAAATAAAATAAATATACAATAAGATAAAAATAGAATACAAATACAAATACTATATACAACTGAGTAAAAATACAACGATGACAGAAAGGATTATTGCACTTAGTATTATTGCATATGTATGGATGGTCAGTTAAAGCAAAGGGTGAGTAATCTATAGTTCAATCCTTTGTCATTTTTTTTTTTTTTTTTTCTTTAAGAAATAGGACAGGGGGAATGAATGAGAGAAAGAGGGGGAGAGAAAGAAAGAAAACCAAAGGGGAGAAGAGACGGTGAGAAGGGGGGAGAAAAAAAAAAAAACAACAACAACTCCTGGGTCACCTGTATGGAGAAAAAAACAAAAAAAAAACAAACAAACAACAAAAAAAACAAACAGAGGAGACAGCAAACAACAAAGAGCAACATAATAATAGAGAAAACAAAGCACCATCACAATAAACTAGCTAGTCATAGATATCAATAGTTACTGAATAATAAACGATATTGTGCAGCACGCAAGATAGACAGCGCACAGTGTGCTTTGAGGCAGCAGCCAAGAAAGCTTTAGTCCGCGTCTGTGAATACCCATGTGTACACCTGTGTGCATACCTGTGTGGATCAGCATGCTTGCATTCCAAAGGTTTCTCCATGTAATGATCTGCTAGGGAGTGTGGGGGGGCCACAGCCCCGTCCTCCAGGGTGTGAAGCGGGTATGGAGGAGATCAAAACTCCAGACATCCAGAGGCCCCCAGAACACAAGAGACCATGGAAGACCAACAGAGGGGCAGCCGCGCCACTGTTCCAGTAAGAGCTGAGGAGAGTCCCAGATGAGGGCTCGCCCAGCAGCCGCGGAGCAGAAGCCAGGGGGAGTTGCAGTGACGCGCCCGTGAGCTCCGCCGGCCCCCAGCTGTGCCTGAGTGACCGAGCCCCAGGCCGAGAGGCCGGGGGCACCCCACCTCCAAAGGGGGCCCGAGCGAGCCCCAGGCCCCAGGCCCCGACAAGCGGCCGCCAAGGAGTGACAGAAAGGATTATTGCACTTAGTATTATTGCATATGTATGGATGTGTGTGCTTGATCAGTTAAAGTCTTTATTATGGAGTCTGACAGCAGTGGGGAGGAAAGACCTGCGAAATCTCTCCGTCCCACACCGTGGGTGCCGCAGTCTCCCACTGAAGGAGCTGCTCAGTGCTGTCACAGTCTGCTGCATGGGGTGGGAGATGTTGTCCAACAGGGATGACAGCTTAGCCGCCATTCTCCTGTCACTCACCACCTCCACTGGGTCCAGAGGGCATCCTAGAACAGAGCTGGCCCTTCGGATCACCCTGTTCAGTCTCTTCCTGTCCCCAGCAGAGATGCTGCCGCCCCAGCAGACCACACCATAAAAGATAGCAGAAGCCACAACAGAGTCATATCTTTTTGTGTGTGTGTGTGTGTGTGTGTGTGTGTGTGTGTATTATATTATTCTTCATTCTATATAAAATGGATTACACTAATCATCTTGTTTCCTGTTTTAAATTCAGAGGGTCTTCAAAACTGTCAGTTTAAACTCAAATCTAACCTGAAGGAGAGGTTCCAGTGTGTGTTTGAGGGGGTTGCTAAAGCAGGAAACCCAACGCTTCTGAATCAGATCCACACAGAGCTCTACATCACAGAGGGAGAGACTGCAGAGATCAATGATGAACATGAGGCCAGAATGATTGAAACTGTGTTCAAGAAACCTGCCAGACCAGAAACAACAATCAGGCAAGAAGACATCTTTAAAGCATCACCTGGAAGACATGAACCAATCAGAACAGTGCTGACAAAGGGAGTGACTGGTATTGGGAAAACAATCTTAATACAAAAATTCACTCTGGACTGGGCTGAAGACAAAGCCAACCAGGACATCCAGTTCATATTTCCATTCACTTTCAGAGAGCTGAATGTGCTGAAAGAGGAAAAGTTCAGCTTGGTGGAACTTGTTCATCACTTCTTTACTGAAACCAAAAAAGCAGGAATTTGCAGCTTTGAAGACTTCCAAGTTGTGTTCATCTTTGATGGTCTAGATGAGTCTCGAATTCCTCTGGACTTCCACAAAACTACAATCCTAACTGACCCTAGAAAGTCCACCTCAGTGAATGTGCTGCTGACAAACCTCATCAGGGGGTACCTGCTTCCCTCTGCTCGCATCTGGATAACCACACGACCTGCAGCAGCCAATCAGATCCCTCCACAATGTGTTAATATGGTGACAGAGATTAGAGGGTACACTGATCCACAGATGGAGGAGTACTTTAGGAAGAGATCCAGAGATGAGGAGCAGGCCAGCAGGATCATCTCCCACATCAAGACATCACGAAGCCTCCACATCATGTGCCACATCCCAGTCTTCTGCTGGATCACTGCTACAGTTCTGGAGGATGTGCTGCAAACCAGAGAGAAAGGAACACTGCCCAAGACCCTGACTGAGATGTACATCCACTTCCTGGTGGTTCAGGCCAAAATAAGGAAGGTCAAGTATGATGGAGGAGCTGAGACAGATCCACACTGGACTCCAGAGAGCAGGAAGACGATTGAGTCTTTGGGAAAACTGGCTTTTGATCAGCTGCAGAAAGGAAACCTGATCTTCTATGAATCAGACCTGACAGAGTGTGGCATCGATATCAGAGCAGCCTCAGTGTACTCAGGAGTGTTCACACAGATCTTTAAAGAAGAGAGAGGACTGTACCAGGACAAGGTGTTCTGCTTCATCCATCTGAGTGTTCAGGAGTTTCTGGCTGCTCTTCATGTCCATCTGACCTTCATCAACTCTGCAGTCAATCTGCTGGAAGAACAACAGACATCGTCCTGGTGGTCAAAATTTTTTAATGCACCAAAACTACAGTATGTCCACCAGAGTGCTGTGGACAAGGCTTTACAGAGTCCAAATGGACACCTGGACTTGTTCCTGCGCTTCCTCCTGGGTCTTTCAATGCAGCCCAATCAGATTCTCCTACGAAATTTTTTGCCAGACACACTAAGTAGCTCACAGATTATTCAGGAAACAGTCCAGTACATTAAGAAGAAACTCAGTATGAATCTGTCTGCAGAGAAAAGCATAAATATGTTCCACTGTCTGAATGAACTGAATGATCGTTCTCTAGTAGAGGAGATCCAACAGTCACTGACTTCAGGAGGTGTCTCCATAGATAAACTGTCTCCTGCTCAGTGGTCAGCTCTGGTCTTCATCTTACTCTCATCAGAAAAAGATCTGGATGTATTTGACCTGAAGAAATACTCAGCTTCAGAGGAGGCTCTTCGGAGGCTACTGCCAGTGGTCAAAGCCTCCAACAAAGCTGTGTAAGTACATTTGTACTGATCCCTCTACTTTTATCATGCAGTTGAGTCTGTAATTTATTTAATCAGACTTTCTGTCTTTGTAAGAATTTGTGTCCCAAAGCATGGCAATTACTCTAAAACAACTGTAACCTTTTTAATGTCTCATAAACTCAATGTTCTTGTGATGCAACATCCAAAAACTATGGCAGTATCATTATTAGTGCTGCTGCTGTGTTACTGGTCTTTTAAAAAAAAAAAAACAATCAAACTTTACTTTCCATGTGTTCATACACCAGTTTTGCATTTAATCATTAGTTTTTACTACACTGTGCCTTGGGCTTCAGTGTTTGTTTACTATTCTTGACCTGAGCTCTCCCCTCACCCCAAACTGTTAACAGCAGATGGTTGTACCTCCTGAGCCTCATTCTCCTGGAGTTTTTCCTTCACACTGTTGCCAAGTGGGAGTTGTCAAATTGTTGGTGCAGACTTTGGTGCATATCAAACAAGCAGTTCTAGCTCCTTCCGTCTTAAGCATACTTTCCCTGGTTGTCTCTTCTATGGCTGCCATAAAATTTCCTCCAGATTATAATCCACCCACAAAAATCAAAAATACAAAAACAACTCAGACTTCATGCCATTTATTGCCAACACGGTGTCCTTTTTGCCAGCCTTTGATGATAATCTGCACCACTATCCATAATAAGCTTTTTCATTGCTTTTAATGATTTCAGACTTTACACATGTACATTGTCTTTCTTTTTATTGTGGGCACACAGATAACAGCTCTTCTTTTGTTACAACTGAATTGAAAACACAAATCAGATCAGGGAAAATCTCCTAATTTGGATGATTTTCCAGGTGGTATCTGGGATCAAAAGTTGAAATCAGCTTGGATGGCCTGTACAATGAATACAGTGGCTCACTCCTTGGGCAAGAAGACCATTCAGTCTAAATGCTTTTTTCCCCTTTCGTGGCTGCTGATGAGGTTGTTTTTGGATTGGCTCATAGCCATTCTCATCGTCTTCAAATTAACTGACAAACTGCTGACTGCTGCTATAGTTTACTGAGTATGTGACTCATGTACTAAAGGTTAGAGTTGTGACTCCAGTGCTTGAGTTTGAGTCTGCCCAAGACATTTCCTTGTGTCCATCTCCTCACTTCTCCCTCCTTTTCTGACTTCCCTACTTTATACAGTGAAGTCAAAGTGCCTAGTGTTCTGAGAAATCTTCACCTCCTGCATCTCCCAAATCTTCTCTGTCATATGAAATCAACAATATTCTCTGAGTATAGAATCTTTTCACGATCTTGAATGATAAGGATCCACATGGGCACAGTTATTTCTTTCTTTTCTATTTAAAGAGTAATGACATTGTCTAGCCAGATGCTCTTAGTACAACCGAGGTCTTGATTGAAGCGTAGAGGAGATCAGGCCTTTGCAGTTGCAGTGCCTAGACTCTGGACTAACTTGACAGATGATATTCGTACTTCAGAGTCTAGTCAGTCTTTAGAAGCATGCCTTAAAACTCAATTTTTTATGTTGGTTTTTAATTCGAGTTCAGTTTGAGTACCATCAGGCCTTTTTTTCTGTTTGCTATTTTTGTCTTGTTTTTATGTTGTATACATTGTCATTGCCTCATCTTGTTTATCTGTATTTGTTTTTCTATTGTTTTCTCATGTTCTGAACTAATTGCGAAGCACTTTGGTCAACTCTGTTGCTTTTAAAAGTGCTATAGAAATCGATTTGATTTGATTTGATTTGAAGGGTTCCACCTGTGATTTGTAGCTGGAATAGAGTGTGGAAAAACTTTAGTTTAGAGGAAAAACTTGAATGAGGTACATGTTTCTTGATATCAGAGCAACTCATCCACAAGGTGTAGAAAGAGCAGCAGTAGGGTAGGACAATATGTCCAAAAATATTTATCATGATATATATTTGAAAATTTGCGGTAACGATATAACTGACAATATAATTGACGCGAGACAAAATACTTAACAACTCTACAACTTTATTAGTGCAAAAAAAAAAACCCGAACAATGTATTTTAACTTAAACAAGCAGCTGTTTTTTTATGTGCATTAAAGCTATATAAAAATGTTACAGTGCAAATGCAAATTCCATGCTGACAGTTAAACCAAAGGGCATTTTCAGTAGAAATGGGCCGACATATCCTGAGCATAACCATGTATAATGTCCACAAAACTTAAAAAAGAGGTTATACACACACAATACTAATATTATGTTGAATCACAGTAGGTATTACTCCATAAGGCACGTGACTATGGTAGCCGTAATGCTCCGACAATCAATCAAGCGGTGCGGCTTCATAGCTTAACAAAGTAGTATTAAAATCAGTGCTCTCAGCAATCTTGTTAAAATGACATGGCAAATCACCGTTAGCAAGTTAACGCGGATCGCCCCGTGTGTGGGGCTGGACGGCGCTAACGCTTTGACCTTGTGCAGCCCCAGGTTTTTCAGCCCACTTGCATGTTCTACCAAAAATTGGTGGGTATCTGACAGACAAAAACCTCACCAGTTCCATACTACTGAAGTTGGCCCCGTTTTTACAAACCAATTTTGGTTCATCTGTTTTATTCAACGATCTGCTTTCGCCCTTCTCATTCTCCGTCGCCGCCATACTTTTTCTGACATGTGCGTATGAAAACAAATGCACTGCACATGCACATTTTACTTATATTCTATCGCAATATTTCATTTTCTTATCATTGCCTAACATTATACCAGTATTATCGTGAACGGTATGATATTGCCCAGCCCTAAGCTGCAGAAGAGTACAAATCATGTCTTACCAAAAAGCCACAACAACTAGAATTTACCTACCTTTGGTATTTCCTGACAGCATAATATTTACTGAAAATATGTCTTCTCTCATCTTTTTTGCTATGAATGTTCCTGTTTCGGCTGTCCACTTGGCTCTAAATTGTAGAAATAGATCTGAGAAGATTACGTTTCTAATCACAAATCAGAAATTATGTTTTTATTAGATTTGCAGTTTGTATTCATGTCTTCTGAATCAGAAGGTGGGGGAAGTGGACCTTACAAGGACTAAGTGCTGATCTAGAAGGGCAATTGTGTTTTAATGAAGTTATTTTGTTAACCATTAATTGTGTTGCATGTTGGCATTTTTACATTTTTTCACAAATTTTGTTTTATGTATTGATTTCATTAGTTTGTTTGTTTCTTTTTTCAGACTGAGTCACTGTAACCTCTCAGAGAGAAGCTGTGGTGCGCTGTCCTCAGTTCTCAACTCCCAGTCCTGTAGTCTGAGAGAGCTGGACCTGAGTAACAATGATCTACATGATTTAGGAGTGACACTTCTGTCTGCAGCTCTACTGAGTCCATACTGTACACTGGAAACTCTCAGGTCAGCAGTTACTGTATTTAAATTACTTTTCCACTGAAAAAGTAGAGTAACTAATTACTGTTCATTTTTAGGTATTTTAAATACAGTTACTTACTGTTACTTGCGTTACATTGTAAAATAACTAAACTCGCTGAAAATCATTATTTAATTTCAATAATTTATCTTCTAAAGGTAAAAATAAACTCTGCCGCTTTAACATCGCTGCAGTGCAGCTGCACGTCATTTCGCGCCAGTTTGCCGCATAGTCGTATTCTACAGCGGAAGATGTCGGACTCGGCTGAAGCAAGGGCCTGTTTTATGAAATGGAAATATTCCCGTCACTTTACTTTTCTACATACAGTACATACAGCATGCAGGAAATATGGTGCTCATTGGTTTGAGGAAGTTTCAGAGGAATTCTGTTTGTTAACCAAAGTTCAGAATTAACTTCACTTTGTTGAATCACATGACATGATTACATACATTATGTATGAATATGTTACTCATTGCTTTAAAAATGTAAAAATTTTAATGTTTACTGCGTGAAATATGTCATGTAAAACATTTCTTACGTTAAGCTTTTTGTTATTCAGATATGTTGCAGAAAAATATATTTGTTATTCTGGAATTGTGTTTCTTAGCTAAAGAAAGTTACATTCCTTACTAAAAAATGTAATTATTACAGAATTTTTTTTAATAGAATGTAATAAAGATGATTCAGGAAGCAAAAAGGCTAAACTATTTCATGTTGACTCGTATTTTTTTTTAAATTATTTATTATTTAAAGAGTTTAATTTATAAATTTATATTGTTTGTCCACTCAAGGTTTATGGGGATTTTAATAAGTATTTAGTTAAATTACTTATTGAGTAATTAAGTTACTTTTCAGGCACAGTAATTAGATAAGTATTTTAAATACAATATTGATTAAGTAATTAGTAATAGTAATTAATTACTTTTTTAAAGTAACTTACCCAACACTGCACGTCAGGAGTGAAATATTTCACTGCTGATCATTTACAGTCTGAATGATTTGCATCTATAAACAACTATGCTTTATAGCCTTGTCAAGTGGCCTTTTATTTAGGACTCTGATTTTGTGTAGCAGAATAAGTGAGATATCATTTTGGTTTCTGAGATATAGTGATGTTGTTTTCTTATCTAATTTATTTAATTTAAAATTGTGTGTTAGAGTTATTTATATTTCATTTAAGGTATTTTCTTAAGAAGTCTGACACATAACAAAGATGTTTTGGTGATGCAAAAACACCTTAGTAGGATTAACTGCTGAAAGGTATAATTCTACATGTGGAGACACTGGTATTAATTTCAGTAACATTAGTATCATTTTTGTGATCTCTGAACTGTTATTTTATGTATGGCAAGTCACTAAATTTCAAAACCCAGGCCTCGCGCTCAGTCCTGCATTACCCATGTGATCTTGTGTGAATACCAGCTGGACTGGTCAGGTGCAACAATAGCTGCAGTCATTTAAATAATCTCTGACAGTGGAAAATGTTGTATCTTTTGCTTGCTGCGGGTGTGATAGTTGCTACTAGGAGAGATTTTTTTCAGGAGGGGAGATGTTACCAAAACAAGTTAAAAAAATTAAAGTGTTACTGTTTTACATTGTCTGAATGTGCTATTAAAATGTACAAATGGATCTGAGAAGATTGCATTTCCAGTCACAAGTCAGAGATTATGTCTTTAGTAGTTTTACAGGATTTTTACGTATTTTCAAATTTTTGTTTTATTTGACTGATTTCATTTGTTTGTGTGTTTCTTTCAGACTGACTCACTGTAACCTCTCAGAGAGAAGCTGCGATGCCCTGTCTTCAGTTCTCAACTCCCAGTCCTGTAGTCTGAGAGAGCTGGACCTGAGTAACAATGATCTACAGGATTTAGGAGTCAAGCTTCTGTCTGCTGCACTACAGAGTCCACATTGTACACTGGAAACTCTCAGGTCAGGAGTGAAATATTTCACCGCTGATCATTTCAGTTCTGAATGGTATTATTTGATAAACAACTAAGCGTTTTAAAATTGTCAATTGACCTTTAATTTAACTTTGGATAGATTATTAAATAAATAAATAAATATATTTTTATTTGTATAGCACCTTTCTAGGCAGAATCACAAAGTAATTGTTTTTAAAAATAACTGCTAAGCCCACAGTTCTTAAGGTTTGGGGGAGAGAGCTCCACAGTCCAGGGGCCACAGTGGCAAAAACTCCGTCCCCCTTAGTTCTCATCTTAGTATGTTTTAAAGCAAGTAAGCCCTGATCAGACGACCTCAGGGATCTCCTAGGGCAGTGGTTCCCAAACTTTTTTTGCTGGGCCCCCCTTTG